AAAACAGCTAACTCAGCCAGAGCGGGAAGGCCTGTAACACTTGTTTTTGTTTGGCTGCACAGGGCCCCGAGCCATGGGAAATTGCAGAGTGGCCGGAGCTGCTGCGAGTGAACTTTCTCTCCCCCTGTGACTTGTGCTGCAGCTGGGAGCTGTGACTGTCCCTCTGGATTCGGTCACACAGCTCTGGTCTCTCAGATGACCAGAGGTGGTCCCTCCAGGGACCTCTCACCGGGTTGTGATGTAGCCCGCCGTCCAATGCACATTGCACACCCCTGTCCTCGGGAGGGGTTCATTCTCCTCCCTGCACTGCAGTGACCTAAGGAAAGACCAGGAAGCCCAACACAACATCAACCGCTCAAGCAATCGATCGATCGATCAGTGTGTGCGGAACAACCATCCAGAGTGCAGTGCTTGCCCTCTAATAGCTTCCCCGGAGACGGAAGTGAGTAAGCAGGAAGGGGGGTCTACAGCAGCAAAACCGACAGCAAGCAGTATTTGCTGCCTTAGCACCCACAGCTTCGTGGAGAAAGAGCTCGGGCTGAGGGCGTGCAGCTGTGTGGTCAAGCATGTGCTTAGCACACACTTGGCCCTGGGCTCCGTCCCAGTCACGAGCAAGCTGTGGAGGATGCAGGAAAGAAACAGTGCAGCCAGGACGACGTTCAGAGCTCCAGAGCCATGCCAGGCAGAGCAGGCATGCAGTGCAGTCCTGGCCAGAAGGGACTGAAGCTGGGCCCAGGCTGCAGAGCACTCGAGCCACATGGGGTCTGGGTGCGAATCCTGCAGAAGAGGAGTCACACACAGCAGCACCTAGGAAAGGGGTGGTTGTAAAGAATATTCTGATGCCTTGCCTTCTTTGGATTCCCTCCAACCCCAACTGAGACCAGGGCTGATGCTTCAGTACCTGCTCAGGCGGGAGTCACAGGCACAGGGCTTCCCCCACTGTCCCTAACCGGCCTTGAAAACGAAGCCTGGCTTCTCCTAGCACCTCCTCCTGGCCCATGCCACCTCTGGGGGTGTCTGGCTCACAGGGTGGTTTGGAAGCCTGAAAAGGATGACTCATTCCTCCTGCCCACTGCAAATGATCATCCCACGGTCTCGTCGTGCGCTGTCCAGGGTGGCCCCGCTGGGTCCAGCTTACTCTAGTGTAATAGAGAAATGTGTGGGACAACAGTGCCCACCTCTGAAAAATTCAATTTTGTTTATCACTCTGAGCAAATGATCAAGCAGTTCACATGGTAACCACTGTCCTGAGCACCTCTCAGGCCACTACAATTTCAGAAAGTCATCTACTAAGAATGACATCTACTTGTAGATATTGCTGTTTCTCTTTTCTTCCAATGCTGGGTTGGATCCCACAAGCACTCTACCACTGAACTGCAGTCTTTTTTTATTTTAATTTTAAGATATGGTTTCGTTAAGCTGCCCAGTCTCGCCTCAAACTTGTGATCCTCCTGCCTCAGCCTCCTAAGTAGTTGGAATTACAGGATGAGCCACCTTTCCCTACCTACTTGTCTCTTCATAATGTCAGAAAATGTGTTTAAATCTTTCCAATAAAGAAAATGTGCAAGAAAAGTCCTCCTCATGTACTGATTGAGTTTTCTTGTCCAGCTTTCCATGAACCTTTGAAATGCAAATGACTTGATACCCAAAATAGAGCAAATCTCATGACTTATTCTTCACTTATTACACTCTTTAATTGACACACAAATATTGCACACAGACGCACACACACACACACATATGATATATATAGCAGTACTGGGGACTTAACCCAAAGCCTTCATACTAATCTACATCCTCAGCCTTTTGTTCTGTTTTGTTTTTTACTTTGAGACTAGGTCTCACTGAATTGCTAAGTTGCCCAGGCTGGGCTCAAACTTGTAATCGCCCTGCCTCAGCCTCCCAGGACAAACATTACAGGTATGCACCCCATTCAGCTAAAATTTGGAAATATATTTATGGTACCCAAAATGATGTTTTGGTAGATGTGAAGTAGGATAGAAAAAATAAAACTGGGTAAAAAAAGAGACAAAGATACCAAGATTTAAAAACTATACTTTAAAAGCCCTGCAGCTCAAGACAAGCTCTTTTCCTGCTTCTGGAGGCCACCCTAGCTAGTGGCCCTCTTCCTCTCTCCTGACAGAGAAGAGTGTTAAATTTCTTAAGACACTTTACAATAACCCGTCAACTCCCAAGCACTAGACCCTTTTCCTATAGCCCGTTCCTCAGCCCAGAGAGCCACAGACATGGAGGTAGCGTGTTCTAGCTTCACACGTTCTCCACCTCACACCCATGTGGAGCGTAGCAGGCAGGCAGTGAGAGCGCAGCTGAGAGCACCCTCGGCGAAGGCAGCCTTGAAAGCTCCCACCGCGGCCTGTGCCCTGCACCTCCATTCCCTGAGCACCGAGCACATCCCGTCTCCGTCTCTAACAAATCCTTCTGGTGCCTCCTCTACTGACCCCAACCTAAGAAGTCTCCTTCCAGAATGACAGCCAACAAGCCTACAAGCTTATTTTTAAAAAGGTGGGTTAGGCCCCTTATTTCAGTCTCAGGGACCCCCGGACCCAGCCTAGTGACGGATGTGTACAGTGCAGAATGATCCCACAAGCTAAATTAACATTACCCATTGTGCACGTGCCGGTTTGGGGAACACTTACAATCTGCTCTCCCAGCAGTTTTGAAGTGTACGTTGCTGTTAACTATAATAATCAGTGCTTTTGTTTTTTTTTTTTTTTGGTACTAGGGATCGAACTCGGGTCCTTGTGTTTGCCGGGCTGGTGGCAGCACCACTGAGCTAAATCCCTGGCCCCAGTCGGTGCTTTTTGAAGATGACAAAAGATCATGAGCTATTCATACTTTTTTTTTTTTTTTTTTTTTTTTTACTATTCTTTTCCATTCCAAAAACTGGCTGTTCATGGTAACAGGACACGACTGGTCCTCAGGAAACATTAAACACTTCAGCATGGAAAACTGTCGAGGGAAAATTGGATAATAGTGGAAATGAAAGTTGCAGCTCCCATCATTTACATTGATAGCAATTGCAAAACCGGGAAAAAGGCCTCAGAACTTTTGGGGTGCTTCATGCATCTGCTCTGAAAAAGGGTACATCCTCAATGTTGATTTTATTTCTATATCAACGTCTGATCTCTTTACAAGGAGCTTCCTTTAAAGATTAAAAAAAAAAAAAATCTGGCTGGGTGTGGTGGCGCATGCCTGTAACCCCAGCACTCAGGAAGCTGAGGCAGGAGGTCCGCCCTGAGTTCGAGACCAGCCTGAACTACATATAGTTCCAGGTCAGTCTCAAGTACATAGTGAGACCGTCTCCAAACAAACAAAAATACCCAAACAAATAAAGATTTAAAAAATCCAGCGAATTATCTTCCACCCCAAACAAATTCTAGGATCCCTACATGGGCAGGGCAAGGTCTTCACAGAATATGCTTGGGTCCTGGGCTCTCAGATTCTTGAAGACACAACTTCCAGACATGGGCGCATAACCCTCTGATCAGCTTTCCCCTTGCACAGTCTGGACCGAGCAGAAGTAGTGTTTGGTGGCGGAAAGGGTACTGCCTAAAAGTTGTCAAGTCCACGGAACAAGTAAGATCTTCGATTGTAACTTAAATCTAAATTGTTTTAGGCTCAGTGGGTTTTGTTTGGCTGTGTAACTGAGCCAAAGTCCATATGTGGAGTGGACTGACGTATTCTGAGTAGGTACCGCCGCGTAAGGAAGAAAACGAGGGCAGAATGAATTCTCGGTACATGGCCTCTGAGCAGTGCCATGCTGATGTTTTCAGCATCTGTTGAATTTCTTGATTTCACCAGCAGCTTGGGTTGTTTCGTAGCACTTCTGACGCGCGCACACTCAAATGTGGTTACCAACTGAAGCCCACACACAGCGTTTGTCCGTGGATGTGTCAGAGACCCGACCACAACCGAGAGCCGGCTCCTCCATCCCTTGGAGGTCCCTGGGCCTCTTGAATATGGGGAGCCTTTCTCCAGCTCAGCTCTGCGGCCCAGTTAATGCGCAGTTCTCCCTGACTATGCTGCAAATAGCTTCGGCAAA